AAGGAGTCCGTAGAGGACGACGATGATGATGATGCTTCCGATGGCGATCTCGATCGAGAATTGAGGAGGACGACCGCACCAGGGGACACAATAGTCGACACGTACTACTATTCACTACTGCACCAGTCTATCAGTAACTGCTTCGCTTCGCCATTCGAGTTCGAACCTTTCGCCTTAGTAACCACTCCCTCGGACTTCGCTGTCGCCGCCTTCTTAGCCTGCCGCTTCTTCCTCTTCTTAGCAGCCTTTGACGGTTGTGCAGCTTCCTTCACAACCTCGCCCTGTTCGCCAGCCTCGAGGTCCACGAACGAGCGACTGGCCACAGATTCAAAGGGTATCGAATTCAGGAACCGAGACGACTGCGGACCACCCAGGAAGGGGGACGACTCCTGCTGCTGCTGCTGAGCGCTCTCTTGATGACGACGTTGAAGTGAAGCGAAACGATCCTTGTGGTATTCCGACAGGATCCTCTGAAATAGCAGCAATAAAAGAGACCGTGCTGAAGGAGTATTTCTTACGAATTCTAATGCCTGGGCTAAACTGGCGTCCAGATCAGCATAGCGCACTGAGCCCGAATCAAGACCATCAAAGAGTCGATACCACAACTGAACAAAAACCGACTTCTGAGCGACCTCGAATCGACAATCGCAATCGCTCATCACAACATCGTAGTAACATTACTATACGATATGGCATTCGCTTACATTACCTCCTTCCTGGTCACCAGTCGGCTCCTATTTCGCTTCGCGTTGCGTAAGAAGTCTTCACAGCGTTCGTCTATGAACTGGACAAGACATGAGGAGCATGCTCATCGACTAAGAGCCCTACATCAAAGAGAGTGTGGTCCATGAGAGCCTTCATGCAGGGTTGAAGAGCATTCTTCTCGCCGTTGATGCTGCTCACTAAGTCGTCCTCCAACAACATGTAACCTGAGGGTAATGATAACAGTAATAATAACACTTCGGAGTGGTACCATCTTTGAATTGCCCTGATCGCGTCGACTGAGGTGGCGTACTAAAACCAGGGAGTACATTGTGATTGGTGGGCTCGAAGAGCTTCGTCAACCTAGGGTACTTCCGCTCAGCTCCTCGACGATCGGGCGACAAATGAACGCGCCATGCCACCTAAGTTCACACGCATCCACTAAGTCGGCGATCCGGGAGAGCCCTACTTTCTGGCATCTGTCAAGTTGTTCGACAAATTCTTTATCAACGATGGTGAGGAGAGCCTGTCGAGCGCTGTTTGAAAGGCCCGCATAAGCCTCCATAATATCTTTTCTGCGTACCTGCAGCCACAATAGGCCTCATTAAAAGTAGCAATGTCGTACCACTGGGAGATGCTTGTCGATCTTGGCCAAGGACGTTGGTATCATAACAGTGGAAATGTTGCCAGCACCGTTGGGATTAATGTCCTCTCTGAAGGTCAAGCCCTTAGTCTGATCTCCTGTTGCTCCTCCGATGATCGTTGCTGCAGCAGATGACCCCGAGCCTAGTGGAGGGCCGCGAGACATTGCTATGGAAGATAGAGCTGAATCAGTGACAATTCGCAACAACACATAGTTACGATACGATCCTGGTGGAAGCATACAAAAGGATTCAATGAGGCTCTCCAATGGTGATAAGAGTAAAAGGAGAATAGCAACAGTCATAAGAAGAGAAATGAATATAACACGACAGGAGACAAGTTTGTGGCATTCCTCACTACACGTTCAAGTGGCTGAGACACTAACAACGCCTGAGATCTGTGATAGTAGACGTTATGAAGACCGGAGTTGGTGATGATGATGATGAGCTCTTGGATGACGTGGGACAAAAATGCGGGAAAAATGTAGTGACCAAGAATCGATCCCGCGACCTCGACGCAAAAAGTTGACAGCAATACTGCTCCACCACTCGGCCAAAACACCCTACATCATCAATACAGTGATGCAAACATCCACTGCGTAGCCTGCACTAACCGCGATTTCTCTCAACTGTACCAACACGCAGCTCGTTCAACTGGGTGGTCTCATACGCAACATAGTACATGAAATTACTGAACATTATTGGCACAAGTACACAAACTGAATGGTAGAAATTGAATCGATCAAGGGTGCTTATGGCCACTAAGTGCACCCAATGTGCTACGACTGCCTTTGCCAGTAGACCCTGGCTTGCCGCCATACAGTCCCCAAATATCATCCTCGCTGAGATCTTCCACGAGCACTGTTCCTAAGCACGACATAATGACAGCGATTTCATGGGAAACTCTACTGCTACCTGGTGACACTCTCCCACCGCTCGGTTCACGATCTCGCACTCTGCGGATCAGCTGCGGCCATCTGATAGAATCAAACACTCCTCTGAAGTCGTTCAAATTGAACCTACCTAGCTCGACCATCTACTAGTGTACAGAGGGCACTCTTGTAGGCCATCATCGGAGAAGCGTTGTAACCACCAAGGTCCCAAAGTGAGTACCCCATAGATCTGAGACGGATCTTGCAATGGGGGGCATTGATCCTCGAGCACGTACTTGAGCCAGGTGCAGGTAGCAAAGCCCAAGATGAACCCTGGCTGATACTTCCTGTAATCATCATCA